CAAAAGGACGAAAACATTCCAAAGCCAGTAGATAAGACTGAACAAGAAGATAAAATAAGTGATGTGTCGGTAACAAATGGTGTATCTGTGATAACTTTAGACGATGATGAAGAGGTTGTGGCAAAAGACTCTGTGAACGGCAGTGCAAGTGTGAACGGTGCTGAGAAAGTTAACGGAGATGTTATAAAAGATGCACATTATTTCTTAGATCTGGAAAAGAAGGAGACGGAGCGACTTATTGCTCTCGCAATTACTGCTGAAAAGGAATTGGAGAATTTACAGGTATGTTTATTATTTTTTAATTTAATTATTTTTGCACAGTTAAGAAATGTCATTGATATACATGTTAAAGATTTTCTTGAAACAATTGCTAACAATAACCAATTGTAATTTTAGAATGATGAGAATATCAGTGAAGAGGTGTTTGGCTTACTGCGTGCTGCGTCCGGCAAGGCACGTCTACTGGCCACACAGAAGATGCAACAATTTGAAGGTAATTATATCAACTCTTAAAATATGTCGTGATATTTATGTCTTGTATGTACACATATTGCCCACTTTATGTCATTAAGTAATTTTTGTAACTTAAAGCAAACTTTGACAAGTGAGATTATATTTTAATCTGTCTATTATGATCAAATCAAATATATATATATATATATTAGAACTTAAATTAATAAAATATTGTAATTTCTTTAATTTGTCATTCAAGCTATTATGTCAAAAACTATTTAGTAATAATCAAAGTATCATGGCAGTAAAATTGTACAGTCATGTACAAATGTTCTCCGTGTACAAATATGTTATAAAATTGCAGGCCTCTGCTACAACAACATTAACGAGCGTCAGGACGAGCCGTTCCCCACCACGCTGCAGGACCTGCAGGGCTTCTGGGACATGGTGTGTCTGCAAGTGCGCAATGTCGATGCCCTCTACCAGCACATCGCTAACGTCAAAGCCAACGGCTGGAAAGAGGTAGGATTTGTGGTATTTTCACCAGAGAAATATATGCAACATAAATAATGAAAAAAAAAAACACCAAGTGTCCAAGGAAAAACTAACTATTAAGAAATAGAAATCATAGATATGATTGTTTCTTACTTGAATCGCGATTTTTAAAACTGGCTGACGAATTTACCTTCTAGATCTGGATTTTTGATGTTGTTATCCCATGCACTACAATGAATGTTGTCGTAACATTTTTTATTTATTTATTGCAGGTAGCCTCCCCAGTATCGAAGCCGGCTCCGGTGGCGTCAACGCCATCTCGTGGGCGAGCGCGTGCACCTCGTGTTAACGACGAGAAATCGCAGAAAGCCAAGCTTGCTGCGCAGAAGAGAGAGGCGGATCGCAAGGCGATGCTGGAACAAAGGAGGTATAGAGTTTTACAAATATCTTGTCAATTAAGCGTAGTATAGCGTAAAAGAATGCGGTCGATTGCAAAAAGTCGTTTAGTATAGGTTTTTGTGAATAAATGTATATGTGATATGTTACAGACGCATGGCGCGCGAGCGGCAGCAGGCGGCGCATCCCGCACACCCCGCGTCCTCAAATATCGCCGACGACAATGCTTCCCAGGTAATACATTATACAAGCCTATAGCTTGCGAAAGACCTTTATAGTAGAAGATATCTGCACCAGATAGGGGCGCTGCTATCTCTGTTAGTTCTGTCAAAAAATATTTTTACAGAGATAATAGAAAAAAAATTGCTCGACGGCCACAGTACGAGAGTCTTTTAACATTGACAGTAGCGCTAGTGAGCTATAATTTACCACCAATTATCTTTTAAATATTTTAAAGAGTGTCATGATTTTCAATGTTGCCAGATTCTATGATTTTTTAATTTATGTTTTTTTTTCAGGAGGTTGAAATATTTGTCGGTAAAAGCAACAAAACTGATAAAGTCGCGTCACAAACTGACAGCAGCTTGTCAGCGGACGCGCAACTCAGCTGATTTACTTGAATTTATTATATTCTTTATTGTATTTCGACAAACCTCGGTCCCGTACCATACTCAGAGTCGCTTTAATGTTAATTAAGCTGTCCCTTAGTGTAGATTCCATACTAAATCTACACTTAGGTACTTCCTTAGTTATCTAAACAACTCTGAATGTGGTATCGTTATGTTGCCTGGAATGAAAATGATGACATTTCTTTTATTAAATGACAAATCTTTTGAAATAATTTATTTAATCTACTTTTACATTTATTTATTTTTTAACTCAATTTTACGCTGACAATTGTTTCGTTTTTTAAAGCAAATTGTAATAATGCTGTACATTATAAATAAATGTTGTTCCAAGGCAATATAATATTAAAATTGAACGTTTGATAGTTTAATGAAATATAAATATAATTTTGGCTCAATGGTAAATTACAGTGATAATTCTATTAAGATTTTTTGTATCTGTTGTCCTCAATGTAATGTATTTTAAGTGAATAAAAGTTATTAACTGATTTTGAATACTTGGCAAATATTGGAACTAACATTTTTATGTACAAATATTTAACAATTTTTGCCTTATAATTTAGCGTTAATCTTGTAAGTCTTTCGAATTATAATTTATATGTAATTGGGAGAAATGTTATGTACGTTAGTTTAATGTTATGTAATATACAGGATACTCAAATACATTAAATCTATATAATATTCTCCGATATTTCTAATTTTATTTTATTATTTTAATGTTTAAATTACTTATGATATGTCTGAATAAATTATTTTTAATCAAAGTTTTTTTCTGTTTTTTTTTTTTATATAATTTTATATGCAATTTTTGAACAAGGTAAGATTATTTATCAGCAAATAAATATGTAGATTTCCTTTTATTTACAGCATCAACAAAATTGCTTGGTCTTTTTAAATATTGAGGATTTCCAAACGTTAAACCAAATCAAAAAAATGATAATAACGCCCATAGAGTAAGTCCATAAAGACTTTTTTATTCTATGCTTGTCTCTTTCCGGTTCCCCTAAGACTTGTTTTATTTATATTTGGACTATGAAATTCTGTTAAATATACGTAAATTATACTTTCTTGTAGATCGTTTTTAAATATTTTTTTGATATATACGATATACTAAATTAATCGAAGCTCAAGGAAAGATGGCTCAGCAGTGACTTAACATCTACACTAGTAAAATATGTACTCGCACGATACTTGTTGAAAAAGTGATTGGTACAGGAAGGTTTGGACAGTTACTTACAAACAAACATTGTGCTAGGAAAAGGTCAGTAAAAATCATGTAGTAATTAATATCAAAATAAATAATTTACTCAATATTTAACCGTCACCATTATAATGTCTTAAGACTGCATATAATATGACGTAAGTAAAGTAGTAATAACTTTTAAATGTAATAAATTTTAGTGGCATTTGTTATATTTATAAATAATATGCATTCTTTCAAAGATTGTTTTGTTAATAAGCTTGCAAATATGTATTTATTGTGAATGTTATAAGCGTTAATTTATGTTAAATTAGTTTTTGTCTTCTGCGCCCAACGCTTATTAGTGGGTAGATTTATAACTTCATTAAAATACTGAATCTCTTGTAAGGGTCTTTGTCATACATCTCGGTTATCTCAGACTGTCGTGTAACAATTACTTTATTTTGCAATGTATAATAAATAGGTTAGAATATTAGACATATACCTAAAGATGGATCGATTCATATAATCTTGACGTCTATAAAAGCTTTCCTATATTATATACGAATTTACCAACTGAATTAATGCTTAATGAACAGAATAGAACTTAGAATAATATATTTATATGATTAAATATGGCAACTTTTGTATAATTATTTTTGTCATAATGTCAGTGTTACCCTTGGCGTAAGCACAATTGTGTAAAAAGAAGATACATCTTGTGTGTTAATGATACACGTTACTCAAAACACCGATGTTCTGATATTTTTTTAAATTACTTATGAAAATGAGGTTTGATTTTGGTAATACGATCAACTCTCTGAAATTATATGAACAGAAGTTTTTTTTCGTTAACATTATAATAAAGTCGTCATTATTGTCTTTTATTTGTTTTATTTCACTGCCCAAAGACCTGTAATAAATATCATACAGTAAATGTCTGGTCTGAGGTAAAGGCTTGAGCACCTTTACAAAAGTAATAAGTAGCCTGAAAGAAACATAGGATCCGAAAGTAGTTTCTTCCAAATGTTGAAGGGAAGGAATCGGGAGCCCGTAAAATAAAAACCCTATCTCCTAAGAAATTGTCTATACAGATATTGTCTTAGTAAGGGCTTTATCCAGAAAGCGTCGCGGTGCTGTTCATTTTGAAAATTTAATATTGTAAAATACACTCCCGAACACATCTATCGGTCCACCTAGTGTTTTAAGTTTTGAGGTAGGCCGGTGGATGTTTCCTGGAGTGTAGATCATATAAACTACTCCGAAATATAAGTTTTTTTTTAATTTTATGACCTGGTAACATAGACCTTTAGGTCATATCTTATTTGGAAAATGTTCGTTACTTTGGATTCACTTCACTTAAGAATATAAGATGTCTACAATCCCCATAGATTAATTAATAATTTAGCTCCGAATAGAGGACAGATAGATTGTGTGAAGAGGATATATGTGGAAAGGGAATCAATTCAGAAACTATGGTTAATAGATATGTGAAAGAGTATAATATTTTCCTGGTTAAAAAAAACGTCAAGATGATGACGTCCTCAACATATCTACTTATGAATTAAACAGGTAATTTTAATAACACTTGTTTTATCATGTCCTACTTCTTTCATAATTAAATTTAATAAACATTAAATTGTATTTTTTTCTTCGTTTTTATTTGTTAAGCTTCCATAGATAATATTTTCCGGTGAAAAGGAACGCATCGGAAAAATACCGCTGTGTTTATGGTTTGACAAGCAATGTCTCAATGTCCGACTCTTATCAAATCTTTTTTACTTGTTTAATAATTTTTACAAAGAAAATAAATATTTAACTGTTAATTTATTACTAAAATATTATTTTATTTTTATGTTTTAATTATTTCCGTGTTTAATAGGGAAACTATAAAAAGAGTACAAAAATTACGTGAATTGTTTCCGCGTGTTTCCTTCCCGCGCACATCGTGTAAGGTGGAAGTTGGTCATGGTCGTCCGCCAAACGGAAAGCCGCCATGATGGCTTTCTGCAAAGTACGCTCAATATGTAAAGTTTCGTTATTGTTTTTCATTAATTGTGACTGAGTGCGTGCAAAAATTAACCATGGGAACGAACTAGAGTGTGCAAAGTGCAGTTTACGGTCCTTAAGGACCTCCTAGAGAAGCTATAAAGTGATTTATTAGTGCATTTTTGTGTCGACGCTAGCGTGTTTTGTTCTGTCAACAAAATGTCGAAGCTCTCGTTTAGGGCGAGGGCCCTAGATGCGTCGAAACCAATGCCTATATATCTCGCCGAGGAGCTTCCGGATTTACCGGACTACTCGGCGATTAATCGTGCCGTACCTCAGATGCCCTCTGGAATGGAAAAAGAGGAAGAAAGTGTAAGTATTTTGCGCATTTAGGTATTAAGTCATCCAACTACTGTGTGTCGGCCATTATGTTTGTGTTTCGTATTCTTACCGCCAGGGGCGTTATTTTTCGGATTTAATGTATTTTTGCAAATATATCATAATTGGTGCAACGTAAACGTCTGATGTTTGAGTTGTACGGGTAATATTAAATAAGAAATCTAAAAAATTGCCAATTCTACTTGGGACACGTGTTTTCGAATTTATGTCAAAATTTGGCGCGCGATGTGCACATGGTCATTCTTATACACCTAAGAGTTCCACAGTTGTACGCGGTGCTGTTTTCACGTGAATTAATGTATTGAGAACACTTTATATATCAAATAAGACTTATTTTTAACATACGAGTGTAAGAATAATAAACAAAGTTGTTTGGCAATGTCGTCATATGTTATTTGTTTACAAACAATGCGTATGCCGGTACGCGATGAGTTACAAAATATACTCTCATCTTTATTTATATTAAGCCTTTATCTACAACTCAATTCTAAATAATATTAATACATAATATGGCTTTCAACCATATTTCGCTTTTAAAAGATTTTGAAACATTTTGATATCCATTAACAACAAATATTTGTTATAAATATTCTTTGACATAATATAAGTACTAGATTTAAAAATATTGACCTATAATAATTTATGATTGCTATTATTTAGATGATTATCAGATGATTAAATTAATAGTACTATTTGCTAACACTCATGAATTACAACACAATATAATTCCCAATATATAGTTAATATAACATTGTAATTATAGTTGTCTTTCTGAACTTTCGTGATCAATTATTAATTCTCAATTAACTAATTAAAAAAAAGATTTTAAAACACTCTTGAATTAGTGAAATATGTATTTTGTTATTTTTTATTAATATACCTCATTAATAAAAATATTGTAGCTGTTTTGATTTAGTTGATGTTAAGTGACCAATAGTAATAATTTACATCTGCCAAAAACAATTACAGTTCTCTTACTGGTTTCATGCTAGGATGTTCATGGTTAAATATTGCATCAGCAGATTTCTCTTATTTTACCAATTGTTTCTCTTTAGATGTATATTTTTTATGAAAATGAGGAAAACTGTTAACACCACTGCTTAGAGAAATCTGTTATCTCTCTGCCAACACATCTGTGTTGTGGGCTTCTGTTCTTTTGTTTATATTATTTTATAGTATACTGATCAATTTCTGTTTCATAAAAAAATTTGAATACTGTATACCAAAAACAAGAATTTACTAAATGTAAAATGTAAATGGAAACACAAAAAATAATACAGTTCTTGGCTAATGCGATGGATTTGGCTACTGCTGCTGCCTGTTTTTTAGTATATGCTAGGCTGATTTTCAGCCTCCCCGTAATTACTTTTACAAGGTTCGAGTTGAGAGTTTTTTATTATTTTTATTTGTTTGCAATTGTAATCACTTAATTCAAGAAAAGGGCATACATACATTATTTAAAGGTCTACAATTTTAATGGTAAAGTTTCTAGGGCAAATATCGTATTTGAATAAGGAATTTTAAATCTATGTCAACTATGAATTTTTATCCATAAAAGGTGAAGACCGTTTAATTTTTTTGGTAATATTTTGAGGTTAATTTTATTATTTAGATATATTATCTTGACTTGGGCATTGGAACTTTGCGATGCCAAAATCAGAAGAGTACATCGGGTTTTGGTGTTCAGTAAACTACTAAATGGGACCTTTAGGACCTCTGTAGATTGTCTTCTGTGATATGAAAACTTAATTTTTGGTAGGTAGATGGAAATTTGTGTGACATACAACAGTTCTAAGTACTGGAGGCTTGAGATAAATCTTTATTTGTATAACATTAGATATCTTTAATAAGGATTAGATATTATAATAATAAATATAATAAAAGTTCAAATATTGTGATGTTATTAGTTTAGTAAAGAGAACAGTAAAAGGAAATATATGAGTTTGTCAAGTATCAAAGTATTTTACCAAACATAATTTTAAATATTAACCCTAATATCTGCAATGTGCCAAATTTTCATATATCCTTTTCAACTTCTATTTTTACAGTGTAGTAAAGGAATTTTCTTTAATATAATATAAAACTCGTATCGGTTATACAGACAAAAACTAGCGACAAGCGATCATTTTAGACACGAATACGTATATTAAGTTTCAAGGATCGTGAATAGTGAAAAACGTTAAGCTAAGCTTTTACTGCAAACATAAAAACATAGGAACAAGGGATGTTTGGATGTGTAGAGGGAAGTGTCGCATACAAAACACGTCGATTTATATTCATTCGGAAACCTGTCTTGCCCGCCGGATGCTAATGCCATTCGAAGCTACTAAGTTAATGCATCGTCGACTAGACTACTCGTGCAGGCGATTCCTAGAAATGTTGTATAACTTTGGGACCAGTGATGTCATACCTAAATAATTAGTTTACGTATAGAACACGTTCGTGCTGATACATCTTACTTCTTTCTTACTAATGTTATAAATGCGAATGTTTGGATGGATGGTTGGATGTTTGTTTGAAAATACCACCGGAACGGCTCAATGAATCTTGATGAAATTTGGCAAGTGGAAAGTGATGAACATAGTCTGGAAGAGTACAGGCTACTAATTATGTTTTTTTTTAATTTCCCGCATTCGGAGTCGCTCGCGATAGCTAGTTTCACATAAAACAGTGCAGTATTTGAATTCGCTTTCCCAGAGATGTTGGGGATAGAACTAGTCGTAATGATGATTCATACAGTATTGTATATTTATGACAGCTACTGTGGACCCCGTCGGGAAATCTTGATGTTTTGTCCGTTTCGTATTTGTTATAAAAGATATTAGACAATTTAGTAACCGTACGCCAAATATTTCATCCTCATCAAAGTAAAATGTGTCTTGCCCACCGAGCGTATCACCATCTCAAAGACCGGCAACGCATCTGCGGTTCCTCTGGTATTGCTGATGTCCATGGGCGTCGATTAACACCTCGGTATTCCCGCTGCTCGTTTGCCCCCCTTCTGTTATAAAAAAAATATTTAACCAATTAAAAAATACGCACGATTTATGGATATCTTTTCTGCCTCTATTTTATAGGTTTATGTTTGAGATATGTTTAGATTATTTAAAAATAGCTAATAACTTTAGCTGTGTTTAAAACACAATGTAAACGCCAACGTGAAGATCCCATTAAGAGATGGTCATTTCTGAGAACAGAACAACCGCTAATATGCTTAAGTGGTATTAAGCGGTTGAATATTTAACTTGTTTGTAGATATATATGTACAATTATAAAGAACAAAATAACATTATCATTTTCTTAATAAAAATAATATGATGAAATTTTAAAACGTGAGTTAAAATGTGTCATTGGTTTTCCCCAAAAATAATAACATTATTGTTTTACTTCAAAATCTATAGTAGATAAATAATTACGTTTTACTTCTATCTTATGACTTATTTAATCTCTAGACATCTTTGAAACATACTATGAACGTTCGGTAGAATTTTATACCAGTATTTCAAGTCCCTTATGACACATCGTGCGAAATTACGTCGAGTATGGTGTAGCTCGAACCTTCCATCGCAAGATTATTTCTGCAAAAAAAAAAACGCATTTAATGTATTTTGCGCAGCAGCACGCCGTCTCATATTTCCGACTGTTCGGTGCGTTTGGTGTATCTTGTCAACTGAATATTACGACGCAGTACCACCATGTGTATTTTTATTAATCGGAGCAAGCCATTCGTACAGCAGCTAAAGCTCCATACTCTACTAATGTCTCTACACTCGCAAGATACTAGGCTACAGCTATTACTTCGCCCTCAATTTCTAAACTCTTTCATGCCCTTTATTGAGCTAAAAATACGATAAACAATGTGGCCTTATCGTAATAAAGTGTACCGTCATCGGATGCCGTTAGGTTCATTGGTACACGTCACTCTTGATAGTGACGTGGCGGGGGGCTAGGTCAATTTAGTATTATCACAGTGGATGCGTTAATGTTTTTGCATAATGTATAGCATTATAAATCTTCGTCCCTAGATGTTAAGGTTCATTTTGCTCTGAATTGAAATTGGAGTTTTTTGTAGGGAGAAATGTTCGATGGTTATTTTGTTTCACATTTTGTTTTTCTATATTACTAAGGAAAATATGGCTTGTGTATATTTCTCGCCCTGAGTGTAATGGGTATCATGGTGAAGTATGCCATCAGATATAATCGTGTTTCGTGTTTTTTAATTAATTTACGTTGCGTCATCGAAAGATTTACGTTGAGTGAATACGAGGGACAGCTGTCGCTCCAATATATCGGACCTTAAAAATTATACGTATTTAATTACGTTTCTTGCATTACTGCGTAATTTTGTGTTGTATTTGACTTAATTGCATATGTAACTATGTTTTCATTTATCGATTATTAAGTTCTTGTATATTTTACAAGTTTTACTATTACGTTGCACTTTAAAACGTGGATTTTTATAACAATTTAATACGTTTTCCGTTACCAGATTTTATTTCAATTAAACAAGGAAATGGGTACATAGTGCACGCACGTCCCTTGTAGGTATGTTACTATTAATATGAGTCATAGTATATCATATAGTCATTGGATTTTCCAGTTATCAAAAAACAAGGAAATTTATTAAAAGGTTCCATGTTCGAAGTATCAATCGTACATGTTTTTGAGAATTTATTTATAAAGCATTTAAACTAGTATGTAATTAATTAATTAGTAAACCTTATACACTTAAACAAGTTTAATAATTTAAATCTTTATTGTATGTAGTCCCAACTATTAAAAATATTATGAAGAAAATAAATAATATTGAAATCATTAAGGCGTAGTAGGTAATGATTTTTCGATTGTTAGTTTATAGTAAAATGCTAATTTCAGCTTTAATGGTGAACATAGTCTTCTATGATATATTAAACTCTATGTCACATGAATTTATATTTGCTTTAAATAAATATAATGATATTAAATGCAATAAA